ATGTTTAATTCAAAAGATTCAAGTAAAACTCATCTGCTAATCATAATTAAAAGAACATCAGATCAGGAACAAAAGGAAATATCCCCAGCCAAGTAAATGGTATCAAACTTCTACCTCATTTTCACCCCAGCTACACTACCATTTTTCTATTCCTCAGAAACAACAAACTTAGATCCTCTACACAAACTATTCCATCTGCCCTTAATAGTCTACTCCAGTTCTTATGGTTATCATTCAGTTCTCAGCTCACAAATATTCTCAACAGGCTTTTCCCAAACATTCGATAGGAGGATATAAAGGCACCACCTCCCCCAAACCTTGCCATGGCCAACAATGAGCTAAATCTAATTAAGCTCTCTGTCTTCCTTTTTCTCATTCTATCATCAGCACCAGACACATGATTCACCAAACTATTCAAAGAATTGCTTTCCAGGCACTATATTCTTTTGATTCACAAGCAAACTCTTCTCAGTTTCCTTTCCTAGTTTCTCCTATGTTCAACCTCTAAATGCCACAGTGCAACAGGGGCTAGTTCTTAAGACTTCTTTCCTTCATCTATACCTTCTCCCTTGGTGACTTCAACCACTCTGACAATTCTCATAATGTGTTATCTTCGGTTGACTTCTAACGAAAGGTTAAAAATCTAACTGCCCATTCAACATTCCTACCTGAATGTCTATATACAGGCATCTCAAAACTTTACTCCGTGTTTTACCTACTCTGAAAAGCATCTGTTTTTGTTACTCTTTTCACACCTTAACATTTCTGAAACTGGGATGCACATTTCAAACTGTTTCACAGTTTAACTGGAAGCTTCATTTGACAAATGGTAGCATCTTAATTCCATGAAATATGATATACTCCAAGATGACCTTCTGATCTTACCCTAAAACCTCCTGAGGCAGGTTTCATTACCTCAGCTAACAGAAACTCCACTCTTCTTAAGATTGCCAGCTAACTAACTATACATGTACTTATCTTTCTTGATGCCTCTTTTTCTTCTACACCATATATTCAATTTGTGAGCAAATCCTCAGCTATTTCATCTCTCTTAGGGTTATTATATTGTCATTACATTGATATCCTTGCTTTTGCCTCTGTTCTCTTACAGTGTTTTTGACACAGCAACCTAGATGGTCTGGTTAAAGTTTAAGTTAGATTATGCCATCTCTCTGCTCAAATCCTGGTGGCTTCACATCTTATTCAAAATAAATGCAAAGTCCTTACACTGGCCTCCAAGGTCTTATGAGCTGGCTCCCTGGTGTTTTCAGAATTTATCTTTTACTATTCTCCTGTTTAATGTAATCCAGTCATATTGGGTACCCCTTCAGAGTCTTAGCATTTATAAATTCCTCTACCTGAAATGCTGTTTCCCCAAATATCTCCATGCTCATCCCTTTATCTCCAAGTCTCTGTTCAAATACTACTTTCTCAGTGAGAACTTTCCTGATCATCTTACTTAATACTGTAAATTTCACTCTGGTATCTCCTAACCACCTTTCCTGCTTTATTTTTCTCCGTAGCACTCATCACCATTTAATACAACATATATTTCATCTATTTGTTTATCTATCTTCCCCTCATGCCTCTAACCACAAATTCCATGATGGCAGACTGCTGCATCCCCAATGTACTCAATAAATATTTGAAAAATTACTGCATAAATACATGTCAGAAATTATTCTATCTACCATTCCACCCAATGGATATGTGGCCAGTTAATGCGTTTGTTCAAAAGCAATGACGATTTCAACAACAAATAATGAGCCATTTTGTATCCGGTATTCTCAAAGCCACGTGGAGCCTAATGGAACAAGTGATCACAATATAACCATGGTGAGTCCGGGGAAAGGGAAATCTCCCCTTGTGTCAGATTTGGTAACAGAACTCTGGTTAGTGGTCAGTGGCCTGGCCAGTTTATTACACCTAGTAGCTACTGCACACCAAGTAGTTAACTCTTTAGATAACTAAGAGGACAACTGGGCTTTGGTGATTCAGAGCAGAAAGTCAGGAGTGCTTAAGACCTGCAGTCATCCATAATGAACTTTTCCAACTTAAATATTACTACTCCTTCTGTATTTTATAAATATTCCTGGCTTGGGATTTTTTTTAGTTTTAATATCTAAGAAACCATTGTGGTCAATCAATGGTACCAAAGCTAACCCAGGAGTATCTTTGGCAATTACAGGCATACCTCAGAGACACTGCAGGTTAGGTTGCAGGCCTCTGCAATAAAGCAAGAGCGAGACACACGAATGTTTTGGTTTCCCAGGACATATAAAAGTTATGTTTATACTACACTGTAGTCTACTAAGTGTGCAGTAGCATTACATCTAAAAAACAATGTACATACCTTAATTAAAAATACTTTATTCCTAAAAAATGCTAACCATCATATGACAATGCAGGGTGCCACAAAACTTCGATTTGTAAAGAAAAATCACAGTTATCTCCAAGTGCAGTAAAACGAGGTAAGTACCTATTTTTAAAAATTTGATGTAATTCACCTATTACAGAATCCACCATTTTAAAGTAATAATTCAATGTTTTTTAAAATTGTGGTAAATGTATAAAATTTACGATTTTAACCATTTTTAAGTGTACAGCTGAAAGAGTATGTATAATGACAATAGTTTTTAAATACATTCCCCAAGTTGTGCAACCATCACCACCATCTAATTCCAGAATATTTTCATCACACAAGAGGAGCCCATACTTGAGAATCAGTCACTTCCCATTCTTTCCTCTCCCTCTATTTTCTGTCTCTATGGATTTGCTTATTCCGGACATTTTATATAAACGGAATCATGCAATGTGCAATCTTCTGTGCCTGGATCCTTTCACTAAGCATAATCTTTTCAAGGGTCACCCATGTTATAGGATCTATCGGTACTTCAATCATTTTTGTGACTGAATAATATATAATTACATGGGTATATGATATTTTATTTAGTTATTTATTAGGTGATGGACATTTGGGTTGTTTATAATTTTCATCATTAAAATTAGGAAAAAGCTAATTTTGTGCAAATGAGTAAACATTCTCTAGAATAGTAACTGGATCAAAGAATATCTGTATTTAAAATCCAATACTGTCAAATAGGATATAGCACTTACACTCCCACAAACAGTGCATGACAGGACTCACTTTACTGTACCTTCATATTATTGAATTCATTTAAAAAGTTTTCTAAGAGGAAAAAAATCCTCATTTTGATTTCTCTGATAACTAGTGATATGTAGCCTCTTTTTATACTTACTGACCATTTATTTTACTTTATATTAGGTTTCCTTGCTTATTTTCTATTGTTTTTTTGTAAGTTGTTTATAATTTTTATTGACTTAATGAAACACTGATGTTTTAGTAATTTTAAGACATGTATGTGTTATCTGTCCTAAAAATTTGTCCTCCCATTTGTCACTCATTTTAAGTATGGCACCATTATTTTTAGCTAGATTTTTGTGGAACCTAAGTTTCCTATCTTCCTTTCTATGGTTATTGGCTAACCTGCTCTGCTTAGAAAGGCCTTTTCTTTTCCTGAGATATAAAAAATTTTCTATTACTTTCAAAGTTACGTATTTTTTCACTCAGCTTTTAACATATCAAGATTTTATTTATGTATACATTATTTGATAAAGCTCTAAATTTGTTTTAAAAAATTAGCAGCCAATTATTTCAACTCAATTTGAGTAATTTATACCCCATGCTTAACTGCCACCTTTACAATAAATTAAACTCTCATATACATTGATCTGCTCCTATTTTCGCCATTCTGCTCTTCTAATTTTCTGTACCAACACCACACTATTAACAGCTTTATAGTACACTTTAACATCTGTTAACACAAATGTCTTACTCGTGATCCTGCTTTTCAAAATCTCTTAGGTTTTCTGGCACATTTATTCTGCTAGATAAACTTGATAATCAACTTGTAAACTTACCTATTGAGACTCTCACTGGAATTGTATCAAATTTATGCATTAGTTTGGAAAGGGCTGACATGCTGATGGTGATTCCAACTTGATATTTTTAGGAACTTCTCCATTTACTCAGGTCTTGGTTTTCTATTTTTATCTTTCAGTAAAAACACTATCATCATATTTTAATAAGTTGAGTGTAATCTCTTAATTGTTTTCTGTTTACTTCCATGTATGCCTATGCCTATTCCTCATCTCTACATAAATTTTTAAATTTCCAACAATTTTTGAATAAAAACATCATTTTCTCATATCCTATAAGATGACAGGGCTATTAATCTTCAAGAGCTATTTCAGCTAAATAAAATTCCATGACTCTTAAAAAACACTCCAAAAAACAACACTCTAAATATCATCCAAAAGATGTGCACATTCACATATAAAAGACTGAAAAGTATATATACCAAGGATGGTCAACAGATTTCATCTTGAATACTAACTCTACCAGAAATGGCTGCCAAGACGGGCAACTTGAGAACATCTAAGTTGGAGGGAAAAGAAAACCATAATGAATTATTGATTTCTATCATGGGGGAGGGAATGGAAAATGGTGACATAAATGCCAAGTATTTGCCATGTATGAGATTCACCAAACTATTAACAATGGTCATTTCTAGAAGTAAAATTACAGCAAGAAGGCCTCCATTTTCAACTTTATACATTTCTACATTATTTGTATTTTCTAACAAATATTACTTTCAAAATCAGAAAAAAAAGACATCTTAAATTTCTAAGAAATGCTGCAACTTCTTCATAAATATTTAACAATGGTATATTTCTATTTCATTATCTCCCATAAACTTGTAATTTCCTTAAGAATTTTTTTCAGAAAGAAAATTCTTACAATTTAGGTTTTAAAAGATACATTAAAAAAAACTTGTCTAAAGTATTCCTCAAATATTATTTCCAGTATGTATGCCATAATAATGTATTATTACTTCTTACTAAAGTCATCAGGAAAGCATGAACATAAACTAAGAAATTATGCAGGAAAAAGTGATTTCAGCACTTTTAACACTTACAATTCAATTTCAACCATGCCTTTGGTACATCCTCTCTTCACAAAAAAACCAACCTAAGACGTGAAAAAGACAAAGTGAGCTGTGTGATGACATTTCCAGGTTACAGTGATTCAGCAGTCATTATTATTTGTCAGATCAAGAGTCCTTCAAAAACTACTCTGTATGTTCACTTCCATCACTTTCTGATGTGCCTTTCAGAGATTTAAGCTCTTCCACTGTTTCCAACCACAGACAATAATAATAATCTTAGTTACCATTTATTGACCCTCTTACTTGCCTGATGGAATCTTACAAAATTCATGACAAAGCCAGTAGTGGTACGAACAAGAACCTAAACCCAGGTAATCGGCTTCAGATCCTGGGTACTTCTACGGAGTTGCACAGATTAAATATTAACAATCACTCTAATAGTACCCATCCTGTTATTACTTAAGATATAACTGCCACAAAGGAATTTTTTAAAAAGAGCAATATACATAGTAAATACAACTTAAGTAAGCACAATTTACATAGCAAAATAGGCAAATTTGAGCTAGTTTCTATACTTATATAAGTATGAAAAAAAGATCCTGGGCCTAAAAAAATCAGATTGGATCTTAAATTGAGCTATAAGTAAATAATACTAAAAAGTTGCAGAAAATACAACTTACAAATAATTGTCTTTTTAAGTTGTAATGACAGTGATATTCACAATTATAATCAGAACAGTTAATATTTACTAAGCTTTACTATATGCTTCTGTGCTAAGCACTTTATATACAATTTTCTCATTTAATACTCATGAGCAACCTTATGAGGTGTATCTTATATCCGTTTTACAGATGATGAAACTGAGGCCCAGAAAGATGAAAAAGAAAGTCTGTTCCTGTAACAATAAAGTATAGCTTAATGACCAAGAGTACAGGCTTTAACATACAGCATCTAGGTTCAAATTTCAGCTCTGCCACATACAAGCTGATGACCTTGACCAAGTTACTTAAATTGTTTCAGGTTCTTCATAGATATGGAAAACAATGGCACTGTTGTAGGAGTGGCTTCTGTTCATTAGCCTGCAACAGTTAAAATACTTAGTGCCAAATGGAAGAAAAGAAAAAATTCAGGAGGCAGTTCTTATTATAAACCATCCATACAGGTGGTCCAGAATATGCTTGTGTTAAATTTTTGTTTGCATTTAAATAAAAATAAAATATTGAAAAGATTTTTGCCAAGAACTTGGACATGCCCTAAATACATCTGTGGATACCCAGAGGTCTGCAATCTGTCATCTAAGAAACACTGTACTCCACAGCCTCCTTTAAAAGCCCTACCAATCAAGGATGAGATATGTCTTTCTTTATGACAAAAATAAATGGGAAGGTTGGTGAAAATTTACACAGCCCAATCCATTCTGATTACACAGCTCTTGCAGTACAATTCAGCAGACTATTACAGAGAGGTAAGGATGTAAAAAAATGATTTCTGACAATTTAAAAACTACATATCAGTATTTATAAAACTCTGGGTTAGTCCTTAGAAGTCAGCTACTCGAATCCCTTTTCCTTGAAATAAAACAGGCCCAGACAATTGACTAAGGTTATAAAGCTAACCATTAACAAGGCAGTGTGTTTTCTACCTCAAAAATGCCTCCTATATAACATTAAAGAAACTATATTTTGAATAGGTTTACTTATAATCTTAAGGGGTATATAACTCAATTTCATAACCTATGTTAAATTTTTAAGCCTGGCTAAGAAACCTGTTATATTATTTTGATAATACTGAAATATTTATAATAGTTTTTTTTTATAATTAAGAAAAAAATTTTTTGGAGGGAAGGTAATTAGGTTTAGTTATTTATTTTTTGGAGGAGGTCCTGGGGATTGAACTTAGGACCTTGTGCATTCTAAGCATGTGCTGTACCACCTGAACTATACCTTCCCCCTTTTAATAGTTTTAGAAAAAGTTATTTCAAGTTTTAAAAATATTTTACAGTGGAGTAACAACTCAATTTTTAGACTTTCTTTTTAAAATATGTTCTTATGTGCAATATGTACCAAAACAGTATATATAAACTTCACGCACTATTTAAGTAATAATAAAACCACCACGTATCTACCAATTTAAGGAATTGTTCACTATTAGTGTATCTGACAGGCTTTGTGTAACTCACTCCAATTGCATCTTTCTCTCTCAACAGATGTAATCTCTGAACTCATCTGCTGATCATGTTTTGCTTTTACTATATACATGTATCTCTAAACATTAAGTATATTGTTTTTGACCATTCCATAAACAAATTCATATTACATGTTATTTTTTCAAGATGGCATTCCTCCTTAAAATAGGTTTGATATTTAACCAATGAGCTAAGGTTTATTTTTACTGTCATATAATATTCAATTTTATTTGTTTATTTAGCCTCTTTTTTAAAAAACTGAATATAGTCAGTTACAATGTGTCTGACTATATTTCCGGTGTACAGTACAATGTCCCAGCCATGCATATATATACATATATTCATTTTCAACTGTCATACAATAGTCAGTTTTATATGAACATACTATAATTTATTGCAAACAATACTGCTATAAATATTTACATAATTTCACCTAGTATAAATGTACAAGAGCTGACTAGGGTACCTAGGAGGTTTTTGAGGGACTGGATATACGCACTTACAGATTTACTAGGTAATGCCTTATCATTTTCCAAGGAGATTGTATAAATTTATATTCCCACCAAGAATGCATCAGAGTTCCCACTGCTCTGTATCCTTATAAACACATGGCATCACTAGAATTTTTATGGGTCTGTTGGATATACCATGCCAGCATTAATTTCTGTTTCTCTGATAATTAATGAAATTGAGCATTTTTTCATGCATTTACTGGTTGTCTGGGCTGCCTCTTCTGTGAGACATCAGAGCATATCTTTTGCCCATTTTTCTTTGAGTTATTCTTTTGCTTATTACATAGTCTGGATACCAGTGTTTTGTTGTAAGTGCTGTATATACCTTCTCCCAATTTGTGGCTAGTCTTTTCTTTATAAGGTTTCCTTTGATGAACAGAAGTTTTTAAATTTTATTATAGCTGAATTTATCAACTCTTCCCTTGCCATCTATACTTTTATTTAAGGAATTTTTCTTTAACCTAAAGTCACAAAGACAGTCTCTTCTATCACCAGTATCTTCTAAAAACTTCTCATCAATCCCATTTAGCTCTTTAACCCACCTGGAATTGATTTTTGTTAAAAAGTGTGTGGAAAGGCCTCAATTTCACTTTTTCCTGTACAGATAACCAGTTGTCTCAGTACTATTTACTCATCTTTCCCCCATTCATCTACAATGTCAGTTCCGTCATCAATCAAGCTTCTACTAACCATGGCTTTGTATTTGGACTTTTTATTCGGTAACATTACAACAGTCTATCATACATTCTTAAACCAACACCACAATGTCTTAATTTACTGTAATTGTGTATTAAGTTTTGATACCTGGTAGGCAAGCTTTTCCATTTTGTTCTATTTCTTTATAAGTATCTTCTCTATTCTTGGGCCTTTATTCTTTCACCTAAATTTTATTTTTTGTTTTCCCATTTTTTTTAATTGAGGCATAGTTGATTTATAATGTTACAGAAATTTCTGCTGTATGGCAGTGATTCAGTTATACATATATACTCTTTTTCATTACAGGTCACTATAAGCTATTAAATACAGTTAGGACCTTGTTGTTTATGTATTCTGTACAGAGTAGTTTATATCCAAACTCCCAATTTATCCCTCCTTTTTCCCTCCTCCTCACAACCATAAGCTTGTTTTCTGTGAGTTTTGTAAATAAGTTTGTGTCATTTTTTTAGAGTCCATATATAAGTGATGTATCTGTCTTTCTCTGACTGATGGACTTCCCTTAGAATGATAATTTCTAGGTCCATCCATGTAGCTGCACATGGCATTATTTAATTCCTTCTTATGGCTAGGCTGTACTCTACTATACACATTTAGGTTGCTTCCATGTCTTGGCTATTGTAAGAAGTGCTGCTATGAACCCTGGGGTACATTTACCTTTTCGAATTAGAGTTTTCTCTTGATACATGCTGAGTGGTGGGATTGCTGGATCATATGATCACTCTAGTTTTAGTTTTTTAAGGAACCTCCCTACTGTTCTCCATAGTAGCTGCATCAATTCACATTCCCACCCAACAGAGTAGGAGTGTTCCTTTTTCTCCACACCCTCTCCAGCATTTACTTGTAGATTTTTTGATGATGGCCATTCTGACTAGAGTGAGGTGATATCTCATTGTAGTTTTGATTTGCATTTCTCGATTAGTGATGTTGAACATCTTTTCATGTGCCTATTGGCCACCTGCATATCGTCTTTGGAGAAATGTCTATTTAGATCTTCTGCCCACTTTTGGATTGGGTTATTATTATTTTTTTTTTATATTGAGCTGTGTGAGCTGACTGTATTTTGAAAACCAATCCCTTGTTGGTCGCATCATTTGCAAATATTTTCTCCCATTCTGTAGGCTGTCTTTTCATTTTGTTTTATGCTTTCCTTTGCTATGCAAAAGCTTTTAAGTTTAATTAGCTCTTATTTGTTTATTTTTGTTTTTATTTCCATAACTCTGAGACATCCAAAAAAAATATGGCTGCAATTTATGTCAAAGAGTGCTCTGCCTATGTTTCCCTCTAAGAGTTTTACAGCATCTAGTCTTAACATTTTGTTCTATTTCTTTAGAAGTATCTTATTAATTCTTGGCCCTTGGTTTTCCATCTAAATTTTAGAACCAGCTTATAATTTGTAGACACTACTGGGATTTTGACTGAAATAACACTGAATACGTAGATGACATAAATAGAAGGATGACTTTTTTTATGGTTGGTATCTTTTATTATTGAACACTTAAAGGTGTACAATATAGTGATTCACAATTTTTACAGGTTATACTGTTTACAGTTACTATAAAACACTGGCTATAGTCCCTGTGTTGTACAATATATCCTTTAGCTTATTTTTAGTTTTTTTTTTAATTTGAAGTATAGTTGGCTTACAATGTGTTAATTTCTGGTGTACAGCACAGTGGCTCAGTTACACATATATACTTTTTCATATTCTTTTCCATTATAGGTTATTAACATGATTCTGATACAGGTCCCTGTGCTATACAGTAAAACTCTGTTGTTTATCTATTTTAAATATAGTAGTTAGAATCTGCTAATCCCAAACTCCTAATTTACCCGTCCCCACTCCCGACCTTATTTGGTAACTGTAAGTTTGTTTTCTATGTCTGTGAGTCTGTTTCTGTTTTGTAAACAAATTCATTTGTATCACTTTTGGATTCTACATATAAGGGATATCATACGATATATGAAGAAAGACATTTTTATATTAGTTCTTCCTGTCCATTAATGCAGTGCTTCTCTCCACTTAATGTTTTCAAATAAAATGTGTAATTTCTGCATATAGATCTTACATGTCTTTTATTGATTTATGCTATGTAATTCATACTTTTGTTGCTACTGTAAACAATATCCATTTTTAATTGCATTTTCTGCTCAGTGTAGTATGTAGAAATGCAACTAATTTTTGTTACATAACTTTTTTTGTTTCCCAGTTTTTATTTCTAATCTGTTATTTCTAAGTTTATTATTAATTCTAATCGATAGACATAACCCACAGAACAAAAGCTTTTGGAGTCCTCAGTAAGTTAAAGAATGTGAAAAGGTCCTTGACTTAGTCTGGGCTTCTAAAACCAAAATGTCATAGACTGGGTGGCTTAAACATTTGTTACTGTTCTGAAGGTTGGGAAGTCCAAGATCAAGGTGCCCACAGATTCAGTGTTTATGTTATATAATCTTTAATAATCCGGGTAAATATCCATATTAATCTGTCAGAAGGCTTATCTGGAATTTCTTTTGTGGGTTTTATGCAAACACTAATATAATCTGTGAATGAGTTCTCTTTCTTTCCAACACGTATTTTTTCTGTTCTACCTAGAACTTCCAGTACAATGTTGAATAGTAGTGACAGTAGGTAACCTTGATTTGCTCCTGAACAGCTTCATAGATATCTTTTATGAAATTAAGAAAGGTCTCCTCTTTTCCTAGTTTGCTAAAAGTTTTTAACCATAAATTACTGTGGAATTTGATTGAATGCTTTTTCTCTATTAAAATGTGATGTATTATGTTCATTTGTTTCCTAATAGTCAATCAATCTCTCATTCTCTGAATAAATTCAACTTGGTCACGGAGTATGTATTATTAAATTCAACATGAAGTTTCTTTTTTTGTGTGATTTTTGTTTCTAGATTCATGAGTGAGACTGGCTTGTAATTTTTTCATTCTATCCTTGACTGCTTTTAGTACCTAGAGTCATATTCTCTGCATAAAATAGGAACTTACTGCTGTTAGAACTAAGCCATAATTGTCTTTGTCTAGTGTTCTCTATGAGAAAAAATTTACTGGCTAACTTATCTTTTCTACTTAAGAGTAAGTTTTGATCATTTAAATAGTTATAAAAACATATATATCCACAACTGTAAAAAATTTTAAGCTTTATTAGAATAAAGTTTCTCCTAATATTCTCAAATAAGCTTTTAAACCTCTGCTGCATTCCTGTAATGCCCTGGTGGTAGTCATTAGGGCAGTTCATGAATATTCTGATTCTCCTCTCAAGCCAATAGTAGGACTGCCCTTGCTCTTTTCTCTGATCCTAGTTATGGCCTCATGACTTGCTTCGTCCAATTAAGTATGAGTAGAACATATATATTTACTATCGAAAAATATTTATGTTTAAGTGGATCCTCACGTTTCAAACCTGCATTGTTTAGGGTCAACTGTATATACTGAAATGAAGACTTCATCAACCTAAATACCTAGGTGACCAAAGATGGCCTATACTGGAGAAGGAGTAAGAATTAGTCTTTTTTATGCTTAAACCACTTAAATTTGGGTTTTTTTCTGGATTACAATATAACATATCTTAACTATTACTTTTTGCCATTTCCTGTATCTTTTCTCTCCTTACCCCCCTTTATCTTCTCAGAAGTCAATTTTTGGTTTTGTGGTCCCTATTTTATCATTGTTTATTATGTTATTAACTTCCTCTCCTACCTTTCAGTTTCCATTTAGATTTCTTCTTTGATCTGTATATAATATAGAAGTAATGTTTCATTCTAAACAAATGGGAAATTTTTAGTGTTATTATTTCTATCTTAATAGCATTGTGGCCAGAAGATATGGTCTATGTGGTAGCAGCAATTCTTTGATAAATTTTGATACTTGCTTGATGGCTCAGTATATGGTTAATTTTAAGAAACACTCCATTCCTGCTTAAAAAGAATGTGCCTTCTCCAACTGGTAAGTGCAGTGTTTACAACATGTCCATTAGTTCAAGCTGTTTACATCTTTCTATATTCTTACTACTTATTGATTGATCTACTGGTTATCAATAGCTCTTCCACTATGATGATGGATCTCTTGTCTTTTAAGAATTCTGCAATTTTGCTTATTTTATTTTGGAGTGAGATTATGTGAATTCAAGTTAACTGAATTATCTTCTTGCTGAACTTAACCTTTCATCAATATTTAATGACCATCTTTATTTCTAAAAGTTTTTTTGTTTTGAATTCTGTTTTGCCTGTTATTAATTCAGCTAGACCTACTTTCTTTTGTATATTTGCCTGGTAAATATTTTTTCATCCTTTTACTTTCAACTTCTCTATACCTTTTTATTTTAGATATGCTTACAGTAAACAAAATTGAACTCTATTTATCTACTCTAACAGACTTTCTCATTTAACAAGAATTTACACCATTATTACTGTATTGTACATGTATTTCCACTATCTTATATTTTTTAATGATCTCCTTTTCTACAATTCTGTTTCTTTCCTTTTCCCTCTCCTTTTTTAAGACTTCTACTGGGTTGCTTGGGCAGTGGTTATTTTCTACTCCACTTCTCTCATCCTATTTTTTAAGATCTTTCTTGTTTGGAGGCTATGTATTTCAATTTTTTATGGTTTACTCTGGCCATTTTAACATGCATATTCAACTTAATAAACTCTGAAGTTAACCAATTATCTTAACTTCCTCCCAATAATACAAACTTATAGAATATTTTAATTCTGATCATTTCCTTCCTGTTTTCCAGAAGGGCAGCATTTAGTTCTCTGATTTAAAAACCTAACAAATGAAGGGAGGAGGGCGTAGCTCAAGTGGTAAAGCACATGCTTAACATGATTGAGGTCCTGGGTTTAATCCCAGACACCTCTTCTAAAAATAAACAAACCTAATTACCCACCCCCAAAAATCTGACAAATGAGACATCAGTATTATTTTATAGAATTTACATATAACTTTCCTAGATGTTTACACCCTTTTTTTTTTGCTCACCATTTTTTTTTTTAACCTCTCAGATTTTCTTTCTGGGATCATTCTTCCTAAATTATATACTTTCAAAGTTCCTTTAGTGAGGATCTCAGGCTTTGCTACCCCACCCCCGTTCCCATTCTGAGACCATATTACTACTACTATGTTTAGCATTCTGGAATTCACTACAGTGTGTCTGTTTGTGTATTGCTTTCATTTATCCTGTCTGGGATATATGAGGTGTCCTGAATCTGATGCTCAGGTTTTCAACATTTCTGGAAAATTCTTAGCCATTATTCCTTTAAATAATGCTTCTTCCTTAGTCCATTTTCTCTCTTTAGAGATACTTAGAGATTATCTTCCTTTAATTACCAGGTCTCAACCTTGATTTCAAACCTTTTTCTTTCCCTTTATGCTCTATATTGCATTTCTAGAAAAACTGTCAGGTATTTTGGTTCACAGATTCTCAAATGTGTCTGCTTTGTTGTTTTACCTGTCTACCAAGTTTCTATCCTCATGTATTTTTATTTCTTTATGCTCTATATGATTTTTTTTTCAAATTTACTTCATCTTTTTGTTACTTATTCCTTTGTTAAACTTGCAACTTTCTTTTAATTCCTTAAACAAACTAAATATTCCAGTTTACATTCTATATCTACAAGCTTTGTAGGTCTGATTGTAAAACAGGTCTGCTGTTTTTGTTAGCTTCTATTTTTGGTAATTCATTTCCTCCTATGTTTTGTGAAATTTTTTTAGGTATTGATTCATGAACCTCTTGGAACTTTATGTTAGAATTCTTTTGAGGACTGGATTGAAGGTATTTTCCTTCAGAGGATTTACATTTACTTCTGCCAGCTGCCAGGAAATATTACCAACTGGGACTACTTTAAATTAAAATTACAGTGTATACATTAAGGCTTATTTGGAAAATTTTCTTTTTCTCTCTACTCTATTCAGAGTTAACAATGAGATAAGTAACTCTGCTATCCCATTTTGTGGTGTTTTTTCCTGCTACACACAGCGCTTGGCTTCTAATTTTATCTTCTAACCCTTCCTCACCTTCAGGACCCCCAACTCCATGTAACCAATTCAAAGCCAGGCTTCAGGGTGCAATGCAAGCAAATACCCCTGGGGAAACAACTCCAGAGCTTGTTGAAATCTTCAGATTCAAACTTTTTTTTTTCACCTTTGTAAACTTACTTCACCTTTCCACAAGCCCAGCAATACATTTTAAAAGATATTTATACTCTTTCTAAGACTGCAGGTGTTACATACTTGGAAAATTCTCTAGGTATACCATATAATGCAACATACTTCTGGAAATGGAAGTCTTCCCCCCAGTGTCTCTATCTACCAACTTCACTATTTATATTCAAGCACAACACATTTATTATAACCAAGGAACTGAGATGTAGGAATTGATTTGTTACTAAAAGCAATTCATGGCTTTGAATTTTGTTAAAAAGTACTTATGTTACTTTTTTAACTCACCTTATCAGCCCGTCCCATGAAAGCTGGTTTGCCTGCTAGTCCAAGGCAAATGGCACACACGATGCTGGACTTCCCTGTTCCATTAGCTCCAATAATCATATTCAAGTGGGGTCCAGGAGACACTTCACAGATATCATATGTTCTAAATTATAAAGAAATGAAATTACTAAGCAGAGATAAAAGATGAAGAATATTTTCTTATCAATGCATTTTTTCTTGCTTTGCCTTATCATTATCTACAAACTTCCTCAAATTCCTTTAAAAATCAGCTAACCTTAGTAATTTAATGTCATTTATAGGTCATTAATAACTAGAATGAAAAATCTGTCAGCAGGAGAAATGAAAAAGTGATAATGTATATCTAAAATAAGAACATTCATAAGAAAATAAGACTTCTTTTTTTATACTAAGTCTACTGAATAAAGCGAAGTTTGATATTATTTATTCTTTAATAATTGTAACACATGCAAGAGTACATCACATCTGCTGTACAAATAAGTTTAAAACAAGTTACATGTAAGCAAAGTCATGGCTCATCCCAAATCTATGGATTTTACATTTATATTTCTCTTGGAATTAAAATGCTTACTAGCAACTTCTCATTGTTTAATATTTGAAACAATTCAAATTATTTTTATTATAATAAGAAAACTGAAGATATTTCAACCCAATAGTTTCATTTTACTATTAATTTTTCAAAAATAACATCCATTTCTTTTAATATGCTGCAGGCATTCACCAAAGGATCTATTTTTAGTATACAACTGAGTAACTTCTATTCCTAAGGGAAAAAAAAACAAGACTACATCATCACCAACCACTTTTGTGACATTCCCTCATACCATAAAGCAGCATGCTGTCCAGCATTCTACCTGCAACAGTACCATCTACACCTTCCTGGTCCTCAGGGACAGCTCTGGCAAAATGTGAAGCAAATGCTGACTCACATATCCTTCTATCTTGTCTTTGAATATCCTGAAGTGGAACCCATAAATTATGTTCTGTTCCCACAGGCTTTCAGTTAGGTGCCAATAAATGCCCCAAAAAGAAAAGCTTAGCTTGCTACTAACATGCTAAGTATTTAAATAATTTAACCAAGCACACTTCAACTTTAATATTCAAATTAATAATCTGAAATGCCAGGTGGTAATAAAACAAAAACAGGTGGTAAAGAGAAGTATTTCTTGCCACATTTCCAATCCCACATCTCTACACTGTATCTACCTATCTTTTCAGATGTTTTATTCTGCTAACAGCTGAGTCCTAAAGGAACACTTTACAATGGTTAAAGTAAACTAGTTGGGAATTTCAGACATCTGGAATATTACCTGACGTAGGACTTCTTACACCCAACACATGAAGCCTCATTCTTTTAATAAATTTCCTGCTGGGAAATCTCTGTGCAAATGACTTACTAAAATAGTGATGCAACTGGTATTTAAGTAAACAGTAACAAATAACAGGAAAAAGCATGAGAACTTACGGCCTATAATATATACACAAATATTATAAACAGGAAAAATTACCAAGAACAAAATACAGCCTCTGCATTTAAAAAAAATTGTTCTGACTCTACGTTTATTGGGAATTCCCTTTTCTCTGAGCCCTCCCTGAAAGAGCTACCATCAGAAGCTCACTCTCTTCTCATCTACACACTTAGCCTGGTATCTTATGCATTCTCCATGGCCTCAGGTAGCACCTGTATGCTGAAAGTCAGCCCAGATGGCCTATATATGCAATTACCTCCTCAAGAACTCTATTTGGATGTCCCACAATAAGTCACCACAAACTTAACACATTCGAAACTAAACCCACCATCTTTCCCAACCAAAAACCACTCTTGTGGTTTCTTAGAGAATGATAACATCATTCGTCCCGCTGCCCAAGTCAGAAACCTAAGCATTAGTTTTTCATCATCTTTGATTCTTACCATCTCCTTCACCTCTATGCAAGCGACCCTCCATCATCCAATTACCAAATCATGCTGGTAAACGTGCAAACCTGACATCACTTTTTTTTAAAAAAAGGAAAAAGTAAGCCCCTTCATAATTTAGCTCTAATTCATCTTTTTCTACTTTCTACCTCCTTCCTCTATTCTCTAATCAGACCTCTAAATTTTACCTACCATGAATTTCTTTCAGTTCTTGACTATTTCGTTTCCTTCTTTTTCCAAGCCTTTGCACATGCTATCCCTTCTGCCTAGAAATCTCTCCCTCCACTCTCAATCCCATTCGACTTGGTTCAATCACAAGATTCCTTCCCTTGAACACTCTTTCAGGCCATTTCGGTTCTCTAAGCCTACCGCTCCTACTTCATTTCTAAAACTCAAAGTCCTCTCATAGTGAAAACAAACAAAACTTCACTGAGCTATGCACTTTCCAGCTCCCTTTTCTTTCTCCTCTTTCCTCACACTCATTCATTCTTCTACAGCTGCAAAGTTTTCTGCTTCCACTACTTCATCAAAGAGTCAAAGATTTCCTAATTGCTAAAGGCAGTGAGCTCTTTTCCGTCTTGTTATCTGACTTTACTGTAACAAGATATTTCTGAAGCACTCTTTTTCCTTGGCTTCTCTGATAACACTCTCCCACAGTTCCCTTCTTACTTCCCTGAACAGTTCCTTCTCAGTCTGCAAGTTCTACTCCTCATCCTTAAATGCTGGGTTTCCTCCAGAACTCTGTACTGGGTCTTCTACTCGTATTTATATTTCCTTCTGGACAATCTCAACTACCTCTGCAATTTCAACTATCACCTATATGCATGATCCCCAAATCTCTCACCTGCCACATTTTCCTGTAAGCTCAAAACCCTTATATACTGCTTACGGAAGATCTTTCAGATGCCCCACAGCAAACTTCAAGTCACAAGATCCAACAGACATTTATTATTATCCTCCCCAAATTGTTCCTTCTGAATAGCACTACATCTGACCAATTAGCTAAGGCAGAGAATTGAGAAAAATGCTGCATCCCTCCCTTACCCTCTTGCGTCAATTAATCTGCAGCCAGATCCTATCAAATCTCTTCTTTCTACAAATCTCCTACTTCACACTGCTAGGTTCAAACCCTGATCAGCTCTGCCTTCATACTGTAAAAGCCTTCTAGCCTCCAATCTTGCACCCTTTCTAAATCATCCTTCACACTGCTTCCAGAGTAATATAAGTCACATGTCATTCCTGCTTAAAATGCATCCTGGCTGCCTACAGGATAAAGCTGGAATTCCTCATCATAGGAAACAGAGATCCTCAGCAGTTATCTACAACTTAAGTATCAACCCTGTCCACATACTCACTCACATTCTATGTTCTAGCCACACTAAAATGCTGGAAACTTCCTAAATAAAACTGTTTCACGCAGTTCCTTTGTCAACAACGCTCTTCCCATCTTTTAAGATTTTAAACCTTCCAGTACAAAGCCCTTCTCACAGTTGTAGATGAAATTAACCATTTCATCCTTTGTGCCCCAATGGCATCCTGACACACATACATTGTTATGGTAGATACTTCATTTGAATATATTTAACTTTATTGATTTGAATTCAAACAGTAATTCAGCTACTTATTAGCTGTGTAAACGTGGGCAAATTAACCTCTCTGAGCTTACCAGAGGAGATAGTACAAGTAGTTATGAGAAACCAACGAAAGCATTGTGTAAATAAAGCACCTATTTCAATGCCTGGCACACGATGCTTGAAAAAATAATGTTGTTATTGCTACTGCAATTCTGTTTCCCCTACGCCACTCCGTGCAATCTTAAAAAAAATAGACTTTAATCAAATAAGCTGTAAAGTGCTAGATTTAAACACGGCATTTGTGTTAGAACATATTTAGTAAATTCTAGAGTATTGATTATTAGCTGTCTGAAGGAAGAGACAAGAAACCAGGGAAGAAAGCCGGATTTGAATGAGGTCAAAGGTCTGTAGGAAGGCGCAACAAATGAGAGTAAGACTTAATTTTCCTCCACATTTCAACCTCTATCCAAAACAACCTTCACCATCTTTGTCTACCTGGCAACTACTTAGTCTTCACGAATCCGCCACAGCACCACTGCCGCTGTGATTTATCTGTTGCTTTCTCTGAGTTCCCAAGGCCCAGTTTTGTGAATTAGATTATACCCTACCTCTCTAGGCCGTGACTCCCAACGGGAAGAGACCTAATCCCTACTACGTCCACTGGCCGCCATAGGACGCCTTCAAACAACGTTGGCGTTAAGAATTTAAAAGCCACATCACACAAGACACACACCTATCACATCAACAAACACGTCTATCTCCACAGCCTGCGAGTAAACACCCTCCCGGCAACCCCGGCACGAATTTACCGCCAGCCCCCCAAGCCAGGCACACATCCACCCACCCACCCACTCCCGCACGCACGCAGCCTGCGCCCGCCGCCTGGCCGCCCGCTCGCCCGCTCGCCTCCCCTGCCGCCGCCGCACGGCCTCCGGCCACTCACAGGAAGTTCTCCATCGCGATGCGGACGATAGAGCCTTCCACGAAAGGCCCGGACGACTGCAGCGGCAGTGGCGGCGGCGGCGCCGCCTGAGGGGCCGAACTCTTTTTCTTGCTCGGGACCTCCGACGAGGGATCTCTCGGGAGAGCTCTCTTGGAGGCCAGGGGGCTTGAGGTCGACGTTTTCCTGCTCGGTGTCGCCATCCTGGCTTCCTCCTTTCCCGACTTCGGCTTCCGTTCCCACAGACCTGCAGCCCCGGCCCTTCGGCGCCCCACTCCCGCGCGAACTGCCCGGCGCGCGACAAACCCGCGATCCCGCCCCGCGCCTGCGCAGTCCCGGCCCCGTGCCGTCCTCGGGCGCGCCCCGCCCCTCCGCCCCGCCCCGCTCGGGCCTTGGAGTCCCTAGCCGGCGGGAACGCGGGGGTGGAGCTGGGTACCTCGCGGGGCGTGGCTACAGGAGTTTGTACATCTCTGCATTTCTCTTAGAGGTTTTTGTTGTTGTTATTGTTTTTTGTTGGTGTTTTTGTTTTAAACTCAAAAAAAGACATCAGTTCCATTTACTATTTTGAAAGCTTTTTCAGCGCTCCTAGGAAACATCTGCGAGGAGACGGAGGGAGGCGTTTGCTCGGGCACCTGGGTGGGCTGGAGCGCGGGGGCGGGCGTCGTCAGACTGCCCAGGTGCGCCGGCACTCGCCGGTTTTAGTCAGGTCTCCGTCTCCAAAACAAAAACAAAACAAAAGAAAGAAAAAAGAAGAAAAACTCTTTCAAATGACTCTATCCCATTCTCTCCCTTAAAGCGTCGTGCTAGGGCCTCCTGCGCTCCCCAGCCTGTACTGCACAGATTCTCCTCATTGACTCCCCAGCCCCACCCCCACGTTCCCTGATTGCCTATTAAGCCTGCCTCCCCCGAAGTTTCTAGATATCCTCAAGCGCGCAGGCATCACTGAGAAGGTGCTTCCACTTAAACTTACTCACGTTCATCTAGTTAACCCCTTATTGAAGACGAGGGACACTGAGGCCTACGTAGATCTTCACATGCTCATCTAATTATGTCTAATCCAAGAGCTGCCGGGCTGCGGCAGTGAGGGAGGTTACATTCCGGTGTGGGAGACAGAAAAAGAACAAGTTAACCAGTGAACGATCAGGAAAATTTCAGGTGGAGATACATGCTATGAAGGAAAGAGTATGAATGTGATGGAGAGGTAGGGAGGGCCTATCAGGGGAAGTGGTGTTTGAGCTAAACCCTGAAGGAGGAGAAGGAGCCAGGTGCGAAAATGAGAAAAGAGCGCCCCAGGCAAGGACAAGGCGCTGAGATGGGGACAAATGGAATGAGGAATAAAGGGAGGCCGGCGTGGCAACCGTGCTGTGCAGCTGTGCCGTGGAGTGGGCATGGTTGCATAGAGGAGCCTTGTCCATCATGGCGGAGCTGAATTTTATTTTAAAAGCAAGGGGAAGCCATTGGATGGTTTTGAGCAGGAGAGGGACATGAACGAATTAGTTTTTAAACGGCCACTCTGGTTGCTGTTTGGAGGCGTCAAGCATGGAAATGGCGAGGCCATTTAGAAAGCCATTGCAGTCGAACCCAGATTCCTGTCTCCCGGACAAATCCTCCTTTCCCAGGGTCCTGACTTCTCCTCTCACAGAAGTGAAATCCGCGCTCTCTAAAAGTTATGACCAAAGAAAATAGAATGAGTGAAAAACACGTATATTTGTAATATTATAATTTTTAAAATGCACATTAAGATAAAAATAACTTAAAAACTGTTCAAAAGGCGGGAAATAATAAAAATACTCAGTGTTTAGGAGGTGGGCACTATACTGTCAATTGGTACATTGCTAGGTACAATTTTTTGGAAAGGTAATTTGGTACCCTGCTTCAAGAGCCTTAAAAGAGTCAAATCCTTTGAAGAAATGCTTACATTTGGGGAAATCTATCCTAATGGAAAAATAATATAGGCAGCAGTAATGGAAGCTGAGAGCAGGGAACCAATCTAATCATTTTATACCATCATCAGTTCTTTAGCGAATTAATCGGATTGTCCTTATAAACTTGAAAGTTAGGAAAGAGCCCTGAACTTGTGATGACCCCACAAATACCCACACACCGTAGTTCTTGTCTGAACAGCCAGCTGGTCATGCTCTGCCACCATCCTTTAAAAAGGAAAACGTTACTGGCTTTGCTTCTAACTACAAAAGCAGTGTGTGTTAAATGTGGAAATTTTTGAAACAGAGAAAAACAAATATACACAAAAGGGGAAATTACTCATGATTCCTCTACCCAGGCTAACCACTATTAAGATTTTGGTGTATGTTTTTACATCTTTTATTCTTGTGTATGTATGTTATAGTCCTTTCGTTAAAAAAAAATGGGATTTTGCTGCACAAATTATATATCCTGTTATTTTAACCCCCCTTTTCCTAGTTTAATATATTATGAATATCTTTCCATACCATTAAATATTTTTTCTTTAACATAGTTTTATGTAACTATATAGTGTTCCATCAAACAGATATACTACAGTTGATTTAAGTACTCTTTTGTTGGACTCTGTATGACTGGAAGTTAGCATGAACCAGGGATACTCTGTTAACATTAGGAATACCCTGTTAACATTAGGAAGCTCAGTTCTTCCTAACATTCTTTAACAATTTCATGCACCCATAAAGGTGTACACATTTATCTTGACATGTCTCGTTTTTTTAATTCCACTGGTGAAAACTGTCTTGAAAGGGGTTGTGTTAAAGAGAAGGAGTTCTTTGGGAATAGAATATCAATTAACCAGAATCTGATGCTAATGAATGAGTGAGTCACAACGATTAATCCTACACATCCATGATTTAAAGTCCAGTCATCAGCTGAATTCATCGTGTCATCCTTGCTAGCTAATGCATGTGGCAAAGCAATTTTATTTAAATTTTTATTGACAAAGAAATAAGTGACCAGAGGCCATTTTGAGTAATGGCCTTCCAATTCTATAGAAACTTTGACACAACAAAGAGCTGGCAGAAAGGGGCAGGGTCAAGGATTATAAATACATTTCACCTCACCATTGGAATACCATCTTCTACATTCTCTTTCTTGGCTTCACTCCAAGCCCTAGATGCCACAATAGCAAGAAAGGTGGGGCAAGAGGCATGGAATGGGACTCTGCTAAGTCTGTCTCTGACTGACAGTTTTCTATTCCAGTTCTAACAAGAACTCTCACAGGTTAACAGGAATAATCTCCTCTGGTTTATACACCAAATGAGAGGGAATATTACTTTTGCTTTTGGCAACATTCATAAAGTGGGAACACGAACCCTTATAGCTTAAAAGGGAGGGAAAAAGTCAGATGCTAAAACCAAAAGTCCTTGGCACCCAGGAACAACTTATGTAATTAATTAATTAATTAATGGAGGTACTGGAGATTGAACCCAGGACCTTGTGCATGCTAAGTATGCACTCTACCACTGAGTTATACCCTCCCCCCAGCCCCTCCCCCTTTCTAATCAACCTAGTTAAGGAACGGATGGGGATGCTCTCAGCAGAGATGAGGGCCTCTGAAGAGAATGAGCAACCCTCCCACAAAGAACTAAGACCCCTTCCACTAGAGATAAGAACATCTTATCTCTATAGTTCTTAATTTTTTAAAGTTTGTTTCTAACATCATACAAAAGTTAAAAACAATAAAAAAAATACTGCTTCTTCCCACTGTAGCAACATTACTATTGGAATTGGTTGTAGTGATAGCTACAGTGTTAGTAGTAATGGCTAATACCAACAGCATATACCATATACCAGCTACATCTCTAGGCACTTTCTCATATCTCATTTTTATATTTGAATCAGTGTCTCAACAGATTTGTCTCTTCCTCAGATTTCTATCTCGTGGATACAAAAACCAACTGAAAGATTTAAAAAAGTCATTAGGAATTAATATCAGGTTTCAAGTGATCTTTGTGGTGTGTCATAATAGAAAGACTTGAGCTAAACAGGCCTTCATTTCTTTGGAGGTATTAAAACAGTATTAAATTGCTCCAGAAGGAATTTGCCCCTTATTTCAGAAAGATCAGAAACAAGGTGTTAAAGTATGATGTGCAGTCTTCTCCACAAGTCCTTGCCGAATAAATTGGTGGTCCTCTTTGCCCAGGCTGGGACAGGAGCCTCGGTGGGGCAGGTGAGTGTTTTCCTTACACCCTGTTACCTCCTGAAAGAAAGAAGGTTGGTCATTGTCAGGACTGTGCTAAATCTGTTGAAATCAGCTACATAAATTATAAAATGAGTCTTTTGGTATCAGACCCTGAGAGTGACATTTCATCCTGACCTAATAGCAAAAGAAAACTGTGGTAGGCAGAATAATGGCTCCCCAAAGATGCTCACATCTGAATCCCTGGAATTTGTGAATATGTTACCTTCCATGACAAAAGGGAGTTTGTGGATGTGATTAAATTGAGGGTCAAGAGATGGGGTAATTATCTTGGGCCATCCAGTTAGGCCCAGTATAATCACAAAGGTCCTTATAAGAGGGAGGCAAGAGGGTCAGAATCAGAGATGAGACAATGAAACCAGATGTTAGAGTGATGACAGGGCTGGAAGGGAGCCATGAAGTCTTCAGTATCTAATGCTGCTGTTTGTTCACAGCTGATTTTCACTTCCAGTGAATTGTTTCACTAAGTGTTTTGTGATTTTTGGATTGTGAGTCCTTCCATGAAATTTTATACGTGGGAAACTTGTGCAGCCTGGGTTGAAATCATGGCCTTGCGAAGAAGGTGTATATTTGTTTTTACCCAACTTTTGTTGGTGCTCCAACTGGCCAGTGACACATGTTTAAGTTAAATTTTTAGTGTGTGGATTTCCAGACCATAAAATTCTGATGGACCAAAGAGAATCTCTGTATCCTTTGTGATTTTTGGAATCCACATACAAACTAAATGCTTTTGTTGAAAATTTTTTTAGTTCAGCAATATTTGTTGAGAATGCTAGGCAGTATAGGTACAAAACTGAATAAGTGACCATTCTTGAGGATGTGGATGTAAAAACAAGAATTTAGATTTAGCGTAATAAGTTCTGCCAGGGATATGAATACAGGGTAAGCAGCACAGAAGAACCATTAACAATGGATGGAGTAGGAAGAACAAAGAGGGAGGCATTGCCCAGGTGCTCATTAAAATGAGCCTTGTATTACAAGTAATAAAAAAAAATGCTTAAATGACAAGATTAGATGGTTGCTTTATCCTTAAGATGGCACTATAAACTCACAATTCCTTTGTAGAGAAGAGAAACGTAATAATAACTGACTTATCCAAAAATTTCATTCCAACCTTATAAACTTG